ACTTAATAACTATGATTTCCTTGAGATAAACTTTAATAAAAATTCAACGTCCTTCTGAGAAATTATACGACAATCTTGATTCCTGAAGAAAGATATTCCTGAGGTGTATTGAGAGGTGTACTAAGATGTGTACTTTCAGAAAAATTTTTATAAACCTGAAATTATATATTTAATTATATATTATATTTTATAAATATAATTTATATCTAGCAGGTATGAAGATCCTGAATCAATTTATTGTTTGCCCAGTAATTTTAAAGTTATTTAAATTATATTCATTGTATATTGAGCTTTGTTAAATTTGATTAACTATTCATGCAAAATTTGAATGGGACAAAAATCTATAGAATACACATACAAATCTTTTCTATTCAATTTTTTCCCACTATCAATCTTAATTATCAAATTATTTATTTGTATTTTTCTACCTATTTCTCTACTTAATATGGATCTTTTACTCTTCTTTTAAATAAAGAAACAGAGAACTCAAAGAGAAAATAAAAACTACATCCAGCTCAAAGGCTACACAAAAGCAAGTACTTTTCCTTTCAACAAACGTACACTTTATGCAACCTTTATACCCATATTCAACTGAAAACCGCGTCAATTAACACAGTAGGTCATTTACGTCTCACGGTAAAGTCACGTTAATTGATGGTAACTGGTTCAAAGTGTATTAAACGCGTTTCCTGGAAACCGACCGCCGCTTCTTTCGAACTCCTTTATGCACGATGTCGCGGATCCCGCGCCGTCTAGCTGAAAATGCCAGCTTTGTAGACTCGTTACGCGGTCTTTTGAGGAAACACGAGCCCCTAATTGCGGGCACGAGCCATTAGCACGGGTTGCCAACAAGCAGGATGGATCGTCTCGATTGTGACGCTTGTTCTGCGATCATTACCGATACCGAAATCGACCTAATTTCGAGACTTTGGCGAAAAACTTTAGCTCGCAGAATGCGAGCGGAAGTTTCGAAACCGATGACAGCCACGTTGGGGTGAAACGAACGCGTCGAACGTGTTGCGATGCAAAGTTGGCATGGGTTCCGGTACGTTTATAGCCAACGAGTTTTGGGATGATGGGGTAAAGGGGTTGGAGATTAGACTACTTTTAATGTGTGAATTTGAATGATTGAGCGATAATTTTTATTTTTGCTAAAAGCTTTTTCGATTTTCATTCGACATTCTTATTCTTATGAATTGAGAAAATAAGAAGGAAGAAATGAAAGTAAGATCAATAGGAAATTTATACCTATTGTCTGAGAAAAATAATTGTATATAAATAGACTATCTGAAACAAATAAAAAAAGAAAAAGTATTATATTTAATAGGATACGAAGAAAATGGATAATAAATTTGCTTTTATAATTAGAAGTAGATGAAAATAAATTGATGATCAACATAATTACCTACTATTAATATCTCCATTTAAAAATATCGACTCTTTCTGCCAATTCACGATTGATTTAAACGAGAAGTTGATACAAACTTCCTGTCTTATATCATACCTAATATATTAGCATATTTTCCCCAAATTTATGTTGCTCTGTAACAAAACTTTTATTAATTTCTCTTATTATTTTTTAAGAAAAGCTGCTCCAATTATTATATCAAAGATTTATATACGCGAGATTTATTCTCACCGATATCATTCCAACATTACCATAACCAGTGTTATTGAATCGTTAAAAGTTTACAGTTTAAAAGATTTCACCCTAAGTTTATAGTGTTTCCCCGGCCAAGTAACTCGTAAACGCGTATATTTCTTAGAAACTAGTTCGCGTATACTTTCCTCTCCCTGATCCAAACGATCCAAGTTTTCCAAACGGATGAGACACGAACAATTTCCTCTGCATCGAATAAAACATTCGCGAGGATCGATGCGATATATTATAGCTTTCTGGACGAGCATCAAGAGGCTCGCTTTGTTTCCGTTATTATTAGAAACAGTGACATTCGTGGGCATCCAAATTTCGCGCGTGAAATTGATATTATAAAAATTTTTCCTGTATTCTCGAGGATCGATTCCATGTTGCGTTTTGCTCTTCTTTATTTTCACTCTTTTTTCTTCTTTTTTTTCGACAAGCTTTCACACGAAGATTCTTTCGCCAATATGAGTCCGTTGTGTGGCGTAAAATTATGATCCGTGCGGATGGAAAACGATTCGCCTTTTTTCGTGGCCGTGAAAGTAAGCCGGAGTGGTTTTCGTTCGGTTATACAGAAATAAACCTGCCAGGAAATCGTACAAATTAATTAGCGGGCAGATTTCTCGTTGGCAGTGAGAGCACATCAACGAATTTGGAACGCTGAAAGTTTCATTCTAGATCTGATCGTTCGATATAGCTGAGATTTTAATTGATCGTCTTGTTTGTATTATCTTCGCGGTTATTCAACGGTGAAATGACGAATAGTATTTGCATTGAAAGAGAAGAGTATACCGTGTTCAATGGGATGTTCCCGATTGCGTCATATCCAGGGAAAGAGTGTGGTAATAATTTGATACCGGTTGCATCCTCTTCGAAAATTGCATAAGTCGAAGATTGCGTATGAGAAAATAGAGAAGTAGCGATGGAGCGAAAACGATTATGAATAAACGATAAATTTGGTTAGGTTACGATTTCTATGCAATAACATAATTACATAGAATTATTGTTATTATTAAAATTTTTAACAAATATATCTATAATATATTTCTTCTCTTTTTAATACACTTTAATTATATATATATTTTGTATTTTATATTCGTACAACGATATTTTATAAAAATTTATCAAAGAAAACTAGAATGTAACTAAACAATACGACTTACTTTTACTAAAGCGACATCTATAACATTTGCAATCCTCAAGAATCTTGATCATTCATTTAACATGAATTGTTATTTATCAAACTGTTTGTTTTATATATTTATATTAAACACTTATAAATCGCTTAAATAAAAAGACAAAGCGAAACGAGGATTCATTGTAGAAGAGCGAGAGGTTAAGTTGTCGTATTCCTGAACGCAGGGGTGTAATCGTTATTAATGCGGGCCTAGGTCACGGGCGACGGATCGTCTTTGGAGGTAGTTAGTTAGTTCGCGGGAAGGCCAGTGGCCGCGCTCGCGCTCACTATAAATAATCATGGCGCAGGGATGTCCAAGTATAGACCGTTGGGAGTGTGCCAGCCTGCGAGGAGGCCTCAGCTATTTTTGAGGCTGTCGCCGCTACGAGCGCTACGACGCGCGATAGACGCTCTCTAATCAAAACTGCACGACCGAAGAACGACAGAGATGGCCGCTCTATCTTTTCCGACCGAGAACCTCGGGCCTGCGCAACACGCTCCCACCTTGCATACAGAATTTCCCCACTCTTAACCGTCTACGCCGATTACCGGTCTTTGCACGACCTTGAATAGAATTGATTTATCGCGTTAATTGTCCCCATGTTATTCCGGTGGAGGATGAAATTTTTCGATTTTTCGTGAAATTTTTTTCGATTACAATGTTGGGCGTGTTCCGAAGACTGTTCCTGTTATATTGTGTCATAATCGGAATGTTGTTGTCGATTATTTAACACCTTAGCAGGCGGATGATTTTCATTGGATAACCAATTTATTGAATCATGGATTTTGAAATTATAGTATCACGTTGATGTAGATAATAATCTTGTCAGAATGAATAATTTCTTGAACATGAATGAGGTTATTGCAAAATAATATATATATTATCAATTTTATTATTTAACCAAAGTGGTTTTTTATCTTAAAAAATTGTTTGTAATTTAAAACACAGTGTTGAATAAATTCATATAAAACCAAAAATGGTAAATGTTTGCTCAACTTTTCACAACTTGCGAATCTTGTACGTATATGGATGTGTTTTGAAACAACCGCCATTACTGCTACATTAACGTCAATACCTGCGCGACGCTAGACGCGCAGAAACTTTCTCCATGGGTTAGCATTTTATATACTTCGTTCAAACTAACACTGTACTACGTTTATGTCAAACGGTTTAAATTAATAATTGAATGAAAACTTTTTTATTACTATAAGTAATTATCAACGTTAAATAAATATTTCTTATATTTTAAAAATTATTTTGTATCGAACAGGCATATAAAAATCTATCTTAATAATTGCGAAAGATAATTTGAATCATTCCATTCGTTCTTTATTCAAATATGGTATAAGCGTCAAAGGGCGCTGCCGCAATCAGCCGCAATCGGTGAACTGGTCAGTGAAGTGTGCGTCTTGCGTGAGAAGTGGGTGAGGTATTTGATTGCGAACGATTCACCTAATTTTGCATTAAACAATTGTCATCGGCACAGCCGATTATTATAGAAGATTTGTCAATAGTAAGTTTCATTCTCGTTTACATGTTAATATTTCGAAAACAGTCGCGAACCTCTGTTTAGCGTGGGTTGTCGATTTGGCAAATGAGTTGTCAATGAAAATCGATCCCAAATTATCTGGGGCAAAGGGCATCAGCCGCATTGGACATTTGCCGAATTTAAATGCAACTTGTCGATTTGCTGATCGTTCGATCAGGAACATTGCTTGCGTGTACTCTTGAGCGTAGTGATGAACGTATTCCGTGACGAAATAGCTCATCGCTGATATTAGATACGAAAAAATATACATTATTCATTGTTTCTTGTTCCGCTTTGTAATAGTCCATTCAAGGCTGTTTTTGTCATTCGTTTGTTTTAATCGTCCAGTGAACTTCACGCGTATCTATTTATGCAAATTTAAGGAAAGTGAAACTAATCGTTAATAAAAATATTTAACAAATTGTTAAAAAGAATCGAAATGATTCTTTGTATTTAAAAAGAATAGTGTTTTATAATAATATATGGTGTAATTTTATATTGCGAATGTGTTAGAATATTAACATACATTAGCAATAACAGAGACAATTTTATAATATATCTTATTTTATAAAATAATTGCATTAACAAGTTAATTAATAAAATGTCACGGAAATACTCTTTAGTTGACCAAAAATCATGGAAAAATTTCCAGACATCTTCATCAACCAAGACAACCACAATGACAACTGCAGCAAAGTTATATGGCAAGGATTTGAGTGAATATGATGATGTAGATGTGGATGATTTATTGGCACAACTTACCCCAGAAGAAATTAATATACTAGCTAAGGAAGTGGATCCAGATGTAAGATAATTATAAATAATATATTTTTATTAAGTTTGATATGTAAACTGATATATTGTATTTTTTATAGGATAGCTTTATGCCACCATCACAGCGTTGTAGCTATGAATGTGACAAGAGTCCTACAGGACCATTAAATCGTAAGAAACTCATTGAACATATCAACAAACAAGCTTTAGAAACACCAGACAGACCTGAATTAAAACCTTATGTACCTGGTGTAATAAGAGGCAAAAAGGTATTTTGAATATTTTTTTTATAAAATATTTAAAATTATTAGTGATGTATATATTTTCATTGCAATCTTTAGTGGGTTCCACCTCCTCAAGAAACAACAAAAGAAAAAGATGCAGAAGAGCAAATTGCTATTGATCTTGGAGAAGAATATGAACAAGCATTATCTAATGCTACTCAAGAAGAAATTATTGATCTTGCTGGTAAATATATATTATATATTTATATAATATTTATATTAATATTTATTATATTAATATATATATATATATTAATATTTATTGTAATATTTATTGTAATACTTACTGTAATCTTCTTGTATATAGCTATTCTTGGATTTCATTCTATGATGAATCAAGATCAATATCATGCTTCTCTATTAAATTCTGGCCAACCTGTTGGTTTGGGTTGGGATGGTATAACAAAAGCTAGTCAACCAAAACCTTATCCAATGGAACCTCCCAATGATACAGATGTTGATGCTACTATTAAGCAAGTTAGAGAAGATGATGTTTCATTAATTGATTTAAATTGGAATAATATTAAAGTAAGTATATAGAATTTAATAATTTTAAACTCATAAAATTTTAATATTTGTGATTATAAGTTATTTTGCTTTCTTTTAGAATATATCTGATGAAAAGTTTATTCAATTATTCGAAGGATTAGAGATAAATACACATCTCGAATCCCTAAGTTTAACGAATGTGGGACTCACTGACAAGACTGCACAAAGGTTGGCAGATGCCTTAGAAAAAAATTCGACGCTCAGAGTACTCAAGTTAGTATAATGTTTTTTATCTATTTTATATTATATCTACAATCGTTATTTATTTACAAATCTAATAAAATTATAATTTTTTAGCGTGGAAACAAACTTTATAAGCCCATCTGTGATAGTAAGGCTCATCAGGGCATTGCTTAAAACGAAATCAATAGAAGAATTTCGATGTTCGAATCAGGTAAAATATTTTATATATTTATAACTATTAATTTCAATAATTTATTTATTAAATATAGAAAACTATATTTCAAAATTATTTCTAATATTGCACATTTATATTTAATATAGAGGTCGCAGGTATTGGGAAATAAAATTGAAATGGAAATTACACAATTGGTGGAACAAAATCCAACATTGCTCCGACTTGGTCTTCACTTGGAATTCAACGATGCTAGACATCGCGTAGCTGCACATTTACAACGCAATATTGATAGGAGTAAGTACAATATATTTGTATGTTTAAATATTTCATTCGTATTTTCGATTATATCAAAATATTTCTAAAAAAAAACTCGTACTCTTAAGTAGGATAAAAAAAATTATTGTTTAGCCAAGTAATATATATGTAACAATACTTTAGATAAATTGATCGTTTATCATTTCAATGATACTCGTCAATTATATCAATTTCTTATCTTTGATCTAACTTTATAATTTATCATTTATTACATAGGTCGATTAATATTTTTTTTTCAGGTATAAATCTAAGTTTTTAAATTAAAAAATTATTTCTATTCATTTTATATATTTATAATGAAAGAAATCTTTACAGATGATTTATTTATCCAGAGATATGTGCCACATTGGAATCGTATTCTTTTTTTGATTCTTACACTTTAAAAAGATGTTTTTTTCCTTTTTCCTCATGCTATAGCGATATTCATATTATTAATTTTTCGTTTAGATGGGAGCAATTGTATGGGGGACCATGGAGATCATATGACGAAATGCTTCTAATTCTTCCGAATCTGCTTCGTAGTCTTTCATAGCGCTTTATTAGCACATCATCATTCATCCATTCATCCTGCTAAATTCATTTATTATTTTTCTAGCTAGTGATATAGAGGTAATTATGAGATTCTAGAATGTACCCATTTTCAATTGATATTTCTTTATCTCTTTAACATCTTATAGAATTTAATTACCTCTTTTATATACCCACATTGAATTCCGATCTATTTCACATATTAGAAAGATGTTGTACCTAGAAAATTCATCATATAATTTATTTCAATTTTCAGTCGAGTATAAAATATTAAAATATAGGCATTATATACGGTATGAATTTGTTTTATGTTGTTTTTTTTTTTTTCATTATTGCTTATATACAACTTATTTAACATCAATAAGCAGCGGAATAAATGGAATTTGTGGTGTTCATGCTTTTGTGCAGTTATGCTTCGTTTAATCTACGATCGATAACAGTATTAATGTAGAGATATATACTCGAATATATTTTTTTTTAGTCACGTACAAAAACATTTTTGTTTATTCTCGAACGTTGAATCGATAAATCTAAAATAAGAACAACAAAACAGCAGCAAATCGTTCTAGGTTCAAATCTTGCTTTATATTCACCTTGCAGCATGCTTATCTTTCCATTTGATCCAATGCAAGCTTTTTATATCTTTTTTTTCGTTTCATCATACTCACATTCATCTTATAATTATATAAATTATTAAAAATAATTCAAATGAACATGTGGAACGCTTACATTGGTTTCCATTTGAAAAGCAATCCATCTTCATTATCTGAAATCATTAGATTATTAGTTTGAAGAATTTTAACGAGTTATTTATTTTACCAGTCTGTCGTGTGGCACGCGCGAAGCAAGAGGCCGGTGAACCTGCTAAAAGTTTCACTGTCCCAGTAGGTGGTGTAAGAAAGGAATCGTAGCGCTGATTAGCGCAGTGAGTAGTTATTTGTTTAAAAAGAAAGAAAGGAAACAATTCCTGTTCTCAGAATAATAATTTGAAAACTTGTCTATATTGCCTGATTTTCTTTTTTTTTTCTTTTCTTTTGGTCCATTTTCATGATGTCGAATGTAAGTGAATGTCCAAATAAAATGATATCCATGAAACATAAATTCAATTCTTTGCTTGTGATTGTCCACTTGTTATTTGCATTTTGTATCGATCCAATTAAAATCTTTCATAAATAAATTTTGTGATTATTCTTACAATTTTAAATCAATAAATTTATTTATTCTCTGTACAATTGAGTAACTGAACATATTACTAAAATTGACACACATATAAATTAATATTTATAATATTAGATATTGGATATTAAGATGAAATGTAATATTAATCATCAAGTTATTAGTATCTAATAATTAATATTTAATAATTAAATCAATGCAAAATAATTATACAAATTTTTAAAACCAGTTATAATAAATAAAAATTAATATTATCTATAATTAGCAATTTATGCACCAATGATTATGGAATCAATAATTGAAAGGAAAATTTTAATTTTAAAATAATTTAATTTAAAATAGATGTTTAAAAATTTATAATTCTTATGTATCATATTTTGCACTCTTTCATTTTAGAACTCTTTTATTTTTCTACTAAACTCTTTTACAATTATACTATTAATATTAATAATAATAAAAATTAGTCTCTCATTGGTAACAATTCATGCATTCATCGCACGATTTTATTTTAAGTTGCTCGCATTATCCTTTCCCTCATTTCATCTCGTTATGCATGCCTGCTAAAAGCAATGAAAATAAAAAGCATAATGCATAAGAAGGTACACAAATAGAAATAGGGCAATCCATTCGCAACTCGAGCGAATCTTTTAATACCGTTACTAATTGACACTATGAATACACATATCTCGGATTATATTTCCAGGCAGAGTCACCATGTCAACATTTACCAAATGGTCTGCACCCTATTTCGCAATTTATCGTCTTATTGTCGCGTACATATCCGTCACATAACGGCGATTACAGTGAGCGATCACGATGAGCTGAAAGGATTACGATGATGTGCCACGTCTTTTGTCTTTCATCGGTCAGAGATCTCGAAATGATTGCCTTTTCATGCAAGAAACAAAAAATTTATCTTTCTATCCTGAGGAAGAAGAATCAAATTATATTCTCAGATTATTGTCGCAACGATTTTATATATGATGTTTTATGATTTGATATTTTCTTTGTATTTTCGATAAAGAAATTGTATATTTATATATTTTATATTGTATAATTAGAAATCTTAAACTTATCAAATCATACAACGCTGTAAAATTGTAATAACGTAATGTGCATGCAAACGTTAGATCATTTCGATTTTTCTATGGCCATAGAGAATGGATTATTTTATAAGGCAAATATTAGATTTTACCACCCACGATGTGAGACTCTAAAAGCTGCTATGTATACTTACGACACCTCTATTCTTTCCCAACAGTACGGAAAGACCTAACGCTGCGACTACAGTTCCGATTCTTTAACATGAATCACAGGAAACCTGCCTTGATTCAATGAAAGGTAGCTACCCTTTAACTGGTGGTCGATCAGCGGATTGATGCTGCGCGGTTTTTTCTTAAGGAAAATTTCTAACAGCTCTTGTTACTTTGCAGCTTCACTAATATCGCTTCTCGACAGGGTTTGCAAAATGTTTTTTGCGCTTGAGCAGGAAGACAGGAACAGTGTAAGCGCGTTTCTGGCTACAAACGATTTTAGAATGTCTGAAAATTTTTCTAAATCATATTTTAACAAACTGAATGATCAATGAGATAAATAAACATTCTTGTCTTGATGTTTTGTGAGATTCTGTTTATATCAAGAATTAAAGGAATTACAAGATTTTGAATATATGCAATTTTCAAGTCTAGAATTCATCTTTTTCCTGTTTAGATTAATTATTTTCCATTTATTCATTATTATATATATTCATTTGAAAGTCAAATATGTAAGATCTTCAGATTAAAAAGTAATATATCAATGATGAGGTTTTGTGAGGCTATAATAGGACAATATGAAATTACACAAAAGAACAATTTCTAAAATCTATAAATAACATATTTAATATATTTATCTTGCTTCTATTAAAAATAGAACAAAATTTCTCCATAAGATTACTAGATTTGCAATTTCTAATTATACAAAACTATCCGTCATTGAGATTAAGTGTGAATGACTCTTTCAAGAAGAATCTCACGAAACATTTGCTCGTAGTTTCACTGTTTAGTATCCCTCGTTGGCAAGGCATCACGAGCGGTAATGAAAGTCGAAAACAGAGTTTTGCGCTTGATCTGACACGTCGTTAACTGCGAATCGTGTTTGTAGACGAGCTTTAACTCTGGTCGACGGCCTCGCTCCAGGATTTAGGTGCACATCCTATCAAACCCGATGAAGTCGTGACGCGTTAATTTCCACGCAACCTACCAGAAGCTCGATTCGCCTTGCGTGACGTCCTCTCGACGTTAAATGTCGAGCGGGTATAACGTGTGACGACGTGTGTAGCGATGGGATCAAACGTATCGCGATCAACGTTGTAAAGTTCGACGAAACATTTAAATAATTGGATACGAATTTTTTTTTTTTTTTTTTTTTCTCTCACCACGAGAATTTTCGAGGAATAATCGAAATCGATGTGTGTAATAAATATTTCATAGAATTCAGAGAATCGTTTGCAAATAATAATGAATATATAGATGAAGATATAGAATATAAAAGATAGTGAATTATTTTAGAATTTTGCAGTAGTTTAGATTACAGATATTTTATTGAATTGAACATATTGTTGGAATTTTCCTTTTTTTTTTTTCTATTTAAGATGCAATTTTTTTTGATTGATTATTTATTTATACTTATATTATCATTTCTTATTTATTTAGCTATTTTGACGATCCCATCGCTAAGTTTGTACTACCAGCCATTGGTACGTGACCATATAATTACGATTAAATCTACGACAATTAAGTTACCATTATGAATAATAGTGAGATTTTTAAAAATTTTTTTTAATGATATCTTGCAAGAAATATGAATAATATCATAAAATAACTTGTTTAATATATACGTGCAATCGACGTTACAGAATTCTTTAATAATTGGTACGTAGTTTAGATTATAATTACAAGTAATTTGCTCGACAATGTTTCACACATCGATCTATAATCTAGAGGTCTCATACTTTTGACTGGTAGTGTAACAATTCTATACACCTAGGAATAGGCCTTCCTAGATTGGATAAACGTCGAGAACTGTTCGGTTTTGGATCAAACCGCGAACTGGCCCCGATAAAGTTTTTCCCTGGCGCGAGGGTACAACTCAATTAACCGGTCGTTTGGTGGAAAGTTCGTAGCCAGATCGCCGCTTTACAGTTCAGATTAACTGTTTGGCCTAGGAATATGGGAATAATTTCTTCTCGTCACGCGAATAACTTTCCTCCAACTTGAGCCGTGAGACACTGGTTT